GGCCCAGTGCCTGACGATGTCCTCTTGGGTGCAATCCGCCTACGCGCCGCACGCGCGCTCAGCTGCGCGGCAGTGGCCCCGCAGCTGCCGCAGAGCTGGGAATGGCGGGTTTGCGTGGAAGGTGCTGAGGGGAGCTGGGCCTGTGGTGGGAAGGGTGAAGACATGGTGAAGATGTGAACAGCAGAGCCGCCTTGATCCTTTTCTTAGTATGGACACTGGGCTTCAACTTTAAGATGAAGTGGCAGTTTGGGCAGTGTGCATCTTCGGGATACCAAATCAAGTCGTTTAATTTTTAATTATCCAATGTAAAATAGCCTAACCAGTTTTGAACTTGTTTCTGATGTGTGACTGGCTATTGATGTGCTGTTTTGTTGCTCGGGTGCCCCACCAAGAGTCAGAACATGCAAAAGATCTAGAGTCATGGAGCTGTGTGGTTGGAAGATGCTGGTATTTGTAGATAGCGTTTGGGGCGGGATATCGTGCCATCTTGCAGCTACATGGGTCATCCTGAGAGTAAGCGCTCGAGCGACCAGGGTGAGCATGCCCCCCCCTGTGGAAAAGACAGCATTTTCCGCAGGAAGACTCCACCTACCCACGAGAGTCCGAGAGGTGAAACTTCTTTCACTATCCGTTTGATCGTGGCGCCACTTCAATGGCTTTTTCCAATCAGATGGAAACAGTCCACCCTTTGTGCTTCAAACGGGAAAGCCATGCTGGGCGATCAGTTTCTCACTTCTGTGGTCTCATCCCGGCGGTCCAAGTCCGGCGCGTAGGAGAATGGCTTGAACTGCCTGCCTATATCTCAGCGGTCTTCGAAGGCGCCCTTCGCAGTCGCCAGGACCACCGGAAAAGGGGGACGGGAACCGCGCCGGAACCCGCGCGGGAACCGCGCGGGAACCGCGCGGGCTGCTTGCGGGCTGATGGCACAAGCCGCAATAAATGTCTATAGATTGTCCTTAGATGATTTAGATTAATGAGGGGTTTATATAAACCTCCAAACTTTTAAATACCAGCACTACCCAGGTCGGGTGGTTTATAGACACCCCTGAAAATGTATTTTTCACGAAAGCTAGCGAAGCTAGCTGGAGTTACTCTTGCGATAGCAAGGTTTCTTTCGACTGGGTGCAAATCCTAGCCCCTGATTTTTCAGGTCGAAGACCCCCCCCCCCCCCCCCCCCCC